CAGTTAATTTATCCTACAGGGGAATCTTACTTGGGTCATTGCCCTTTTAGGCCCTGGTCCTGGGTGTGCTCCCCAGTGATACTTGGCTTTAGATAGCTCAGAGGTTCACCTGCCCCAGGACTGGCATTTACTTCCTGGTCTGTTAATGATCTTTTTTCACTAGAACTCACCAACTTCAACTCCCCAAGTCCCTCTCAAGGGCCCGATGAAATCTTCAAAGTCTTAAATATATTTTGACCTGCATTTATAAATTTATGATTGCTACAGGAATATCTTAAAAGAGAAGCTCCAGGTGAGTGAACCACAACTATTTCATATATTTCTTAAGCTTTTTCTCTTTTATTTTGTGGTGTTTGAGCCTGAAATTTTACATTGAAAGAACACAGTGTGAAGTTTTGTCCTGGCTGTGCTACTGACCTTGAGCACTTAGTATGTCATTTACTTCTCTGGGCCTTGACTTTGTTATAATAGAGTCTAAGACCATTTTTCCTAATATGGACTCTCCATTTTAGGATGAGTAATGAGATTGAAAATTAGACTAAGGGCTTCTTCTTTATATGAAATACATGTTCACTTGAATAGGAGTAATTAAACAAAAGATTTAAGCATCTGTAATTCCTCTAGCTAAAGGAAAATCCCCAAATTTTGAATCATTGCTTAAATTGAATGTTCAGATGACCCCAGTAGGTAGTACTAAAGCCTAGGTTTGATTTCCTCACTTCCCTGCTCAGAAACCTCTAAAAAGGAGCTCCTTAATATGACAGTTAAAGTTGAGGCCGTAATCTGCCCTCTCTCTACTTTCCCAATGTTATCTCTTACTGTCGCTTCTATTTCAAACTGAATTTTTTGACTTTATTCAGACATACCTTGCACTGTCACATCTCCACATATTTTATTAATTTGTCCCTTCCCTCTAAAATGCACCGTTTCTGTCCCATCCTGTTCATGGCAATTAAAAATCCTTTCCAAGTTTCAAGATAAAGCCACCATTTATATCTATATTCAAGATATTAGTACTTTTAAGCACCAGACCAAATGCTTTTTATGCATTATCTCATTTTATGCTTAAACCACCCCTACTGGGTAAGTGTTCTTATCCTCATTTTCCAATTTAGAAAACTGCAAGGTAGGCATCATTGCTCACATTGTCCAGATTAGATTCAGAACAATTAGAGACTTTTTCTAGGTATTCACAGTTAATGGGTGCCAAAGCCAGGGTCTGTATAGATGGTGAAAGGTTCCAAAGCATATGCTACCTCTCTGTGAAAGCTTGCTTCTGTAGAGTTAGCAAATGTTATGGTTATTGAGCACCTACTAGATGTCCAGCATAGAAATGCTGAGAAGGAAACATCCTACCTTTGAGGTCTCATAGTCCTCAGACATCCAAAAGGAAGGAATTTCTTCCTCCCAGTAGCACTGTATCCTTAATCTTTTAAAGACATTTATCACATTTTAAATTTATTCTCAATTTTTTA